AGTGCCTCGCAGGGGTCAGCGCCTCCTAAGAAGAAGGCAAAGTCTTCGGCTGCTCAGTCTAAGCCTCTCTTCAAGGGCAACAAGGGGAAGGGTAGGAAGGGTAAGAACCCTCCTGGGGGCAAGAAGAAAGGTTCCTGACACATTCAGCTCCTTGGCGGCGGCAGACCAAGAGCCGGGTCTTTCCCTCTCAAACTCTTGTCCCTTCCCACTCAGGATTAGGCTCCGGGTGGGCAAACGATTCGCAGGTTTGGTTTGGCAGGGTCTCGATCTGCCCCATCCGGCGCTTCCTGGGGGGGGGGGGGGGTCTCTCCGCTTTTCTCCACGGAAGATGCTTGGGCTTTGTCGGTGGTCAGGGAGGGTCTAGGTATCCCTCTTCTTCGGGATCCGCCCCTCGCCGCCCAGCCGATTTTTTTCCTCCTCCGGGGGATGCGAAAAAGGCTCGGGCGCTCCAGGAGGAAGTAGGGACCATGCTGGCCAAGGGCGCGGTAGAGGAGGTTCATATGTCGGAATGCACTACGGGCTTCTACTCCAGAATGTTTCTGGTTCGGGGCGTGGCGTCCGATCATATATTTCAGTGCCTTCAACAGGCATGATATTCTCCTCACCCAACGGGGCATTATGGCCTCAGTAGATCTGAAGGATGCCTACCTCCATATCCCCATCAAGAAGTCGGCACGGAAGTTCTGTTCTCCCTCCCTACTTCTTTGGCTGTGCTGGATTGGCTGCCTGGCTTCTAGTCACCACTACGGTAAGACGAATTCGCATACTAAAGTTATGGTAGTTATTACTGAAATGAAATTGAGGTTTCTTCATGTAAAACCAATTTTCATGAGGTAATACTTACCATAACTTTATGGAGTCCCATTCTATCCTCCCCTCTTCCTTATCTGCATGACTGCCCCGTAATGGTTATTAGAGGAAGGGAGTTCACTCTATGTTCCTGCCGTGATGGCTCATGGATCGTAGGGAGGGCGGGATTATTTGAATCTTTTGTGGTTAGGATACAAAGATGGGTGTAGGTACTGTATTTGCATACTAAAGTTATGGTAAGCATTACCTCATGAAAATCGGTTTTACATGAACAAACCTCAATATGCATGTATATTATTCGGCAATGATAATACCACTTCTATTCATACATGTTGAATTTAAAACTTGTTAACACTTGTGGTGTTTACAGTATTTAAGATGCAGACTACATGGATCCCAACGAAAGCTATTCGTAGTTATACATTGGTGTAGTCATACATGTATTGTGTGTTACAAGAATGAGTGACGTAGCACACCGACGTTACCGCTGAAAGAGCTGACGTTCTATAGCAATATTGGGAGAGCCATATAGTAGTAAGTCAAGACTGCATACTAAAGTTATGGTAATTATTACTGAAAAGAAATCCACCGTTGCCAACGATCTGGTGGTATTGTTTGAGCGTTTTAAATAACAGCTGTGTCGAAGCGGTGTATATGATATGGCAAATACGCATTACAAGTCCGTGAATGGCCTTCCGGGAACTGGCGTCTTCGAGGAGGTAAAAACATAGCAAGTAGTGTTAGGTAAACAAGTACCCCGCAACGGTATCGAATTTCAAATTCAATGAAATCAAACCGGCGTAAAATCTTGTTTCGTTTTATTCAACAGGAATCCACATGGCCACTGCATTACAGGGAAAAAAACCTGAGTCAATGAATAACAACACACAGACACAATAGATCGCACAGAAAATAGTTCAAGACACAGCCTTTTCATGCAACTTAGGAATTAGATACAGTAGCACAAAACAATGAATTAAACTGCGTCATAACTCTATTTCATCCTTCTAGAACTCGTCAAACTGTCAACAAAGTACCAATATGATACATTCGGAACTCAGTCTAAGAAATAGCGTGAAGGAGTGCAGTCATAGTAACGTGTAAAGTTACGATAACGCCTTGGTTTTTTTTTTTATCTTTTCCTGGAGATAAATCCCATACCCTGCGATATTTCAGATATCTAAAATATCGCATGGTTCTCTCTGATTGGTCCACACCTCATTAGGGAGGTGGTGCCCATTTCCAAGTGGGCGAGACAGATAAACAAAGACAAAGTAAAGATTTCAAACAAATCTTTAATATATAAAAAATATATATATATATAAAAAACAAGAGAGATTTTGTTTAATTTATATTCGTCGTTTTGACGTTAGTTAACACATTCAAACAGTTATGTACAACGCGTTACTTACGCCAGATCAGCACATGAACACTGTATCTACGGATGGGTAGTGATCAGGCCAATCGTTGTAGGCTACCAAAGAGGAGAAAGAACGACTTGTGACACCTGGATCTAGCTGACAAAACAAGTAAAACATTGTCTCACGCTAAAAATGATCAAAAGTTGCTTGATAAATTTAACTTAAAAAACTAATGAGTATCTGACACCATGTCAACACGTGTTCGCATATTTCGTCAGTATTTCGTAATAATGCATATTCACGTCTATTTGCGAAGCAGATCGCCAATGCAAATGTAATTCTGATAAACCAAAGACGGTTTTAGACTGCACAATAATACTTAGATTTTAAAATGAGTCACCTCAAATAGGGATCAGCGTAAACAACAGAATGGTTGTGTGTCTCGTGCACTCTCGTCCACCCCACGATGACATGCTAAAGAATCCTTGGTCACCACTGAATTGGCAGTTGTGTGAAGCTGTATAGTATGATATCGGATTTCAACTTAAATAGAACATTGTCATTTGTGCAGTCTGTCGTTACATATATTTAACATTCGAAACAAGCTCAGTTTAACAATTGTGGATAGCAAACAATACATTTCTGGATGACTGAAGTGTCGTATGTAAAATGTAACACATCTCGCTCCAAACTCAAGAGGGTTTTGATTAAAACAAAATAAAATCGAGAGAGAGAGTCTGGCAGGCAGACAGACAGACAAACAGACGGACAGACAGCAGGCTGACGAATGACTTTTCACGAATATAGTGGCTAGTTCCCAAATGATCCGCTGCTTCTACGTTAACCACAATGTATTGATCTGATAATCGTCCCGCCCAATATGTGAATATGTTACAGAAGATTGTGTAATCAAGGATTTCATGAAATTTCCTGTAATTACTGAAGAAAGTAGTGTTTTTATTACACAAATTTACTTGGCACTTTTTTAGGAATATTGTGAAAACAGAAGTTCACTGAGCACTTGTATTAAACTTGGTTTAACAGATGTTACAGTAAGATTATTAAACTTAGTTTAAACAGAATCCTTTCACTGCTTTGATTTCACTTTAAATGACAAGCTTGTGATCTAGCAATTAAGTAAGGCAGGCTTGGTTGCTATGATCTCCCTTTGAATATTAATCACAAGGCTTTGCAAGCTTCTTAATGAGGATGAAGTGCAACTGATCTGTTAATTGCATAATTGCTTACTGTTTAACGGCCGAACGCTTATACTACGATGAACAATCCTTAACGAGGATTAAGTGCAGTTAGGCAGTTAACTGCGTACCGATTGTCGTCACAAGGTCCGTGGTCAAGGATTAAAACAGACCAAATAGTTATTACTGGCTATATGATATGTGTGTAAGGCAGACTGGGTTACTCTTTTCTTCCATGTTCATCACAATGGCACACCTAGCTTTGAGACGGAATTTATTTGACAAATACTCTCAGTGTCAAAAGAATCTTATTCCCAAAGAATATTACTTCAAGATCATTTTCAATTTCAAAATAGTTTATTGTCAATACATATACATTACAATAATTGAATTTACAAGAGAAAGTACAGTATACATGTGTTAACAAAAGGAATTGGACAACAGGCTTATAGCCTATATAAGTATTTTCCTACAAGTTACAAGATCATTGAGTATATGAAAGATGCAGCTGAAATTTCCACCACAAAGTCACGTCATCACTACCATATTCTGAAGAAGTATGAAGTTCTTCAGTGTGACGAGGTTGAAAAACTGATCAAAAAGAGGAATGTAGTAGTCTCATTATTTGGCAATATTGCTTTTAACATATTCGTAGTACTTTAGCTATATGTTTTCGTATGTAATAGAAATCAGCCTATCGTAAATATTGTACGTGGCGCATTGTGGCAAAAGTTTTAGCGCGCACACGAGTGCGGAAATGCGAGTGAGATACTGAGCGGATGTGATATAATGTGTAGTAAATCTGTTTGTCCAATAAGTATTGTCTATTTATAGTAATTGAGTGTTGAATGTTGGGAAGTTTTACCTGGTGCACTGGTCACTTTTGGACAGAGCGCCCAGAGCTTCAACGTCGTCGAAGTATGATAATAGCCAGCCTAGCGACCATGAGAGGTAGCGGCACTAGAGCCTAATAATTATAAACTGTGTGCTGAACGAGCCAGTCTGAGGGCTCGGCGGACTTAGTTCCGAGAAAACCTTCTTCACACTGAAGAGGGTTTTTTTATTGTATTATTAAAACTGTGAAGAAAATGAACACATGAGTTGTTTTGATGAGGTTAAAGACAACTATTACAGGAAGTCACCAAGAGAACGCTCTACGTACTATGCTACCATAGAAGACACATACGACATCATCAACACAAAGCCCACATTGCAACGGGCCATGGTGGTCGTGATAGGATTCTGAAACATCGTGGGCAGAAGTGCGCCAACATCACAACAGATACTGTTGAACTGTTCAAGTTCTACTGTCTTTTGCGTCAACAGAAGCGGAAACGTCAAAAGACTAACTGTGTTGTGAAACTTATTTTGTCTATGGGAATTTAACTCTCGAGCTTAAGTGGATCTTATTGACATGCAGTCTTCCCCACAGGTCAGTTCAAGCGGATCATAGTTTATCAGTGCTCACAAAATTTGTCATCCTGAGGACAATATCTTCCAAGAGAGCGACAGAAGTCGCCTTTCAACTGCTGGACATTTTTCTCCCCTTCGGTGCACTTGCCATCCTTCAGAGCGACAACTGCTCAAAATTCACAGCATCACGGAGCTCAGAAAGTTGTAACCTGAACCCATCATGGTTCATGGCAAGCCTAGACACCTCCAAAGCCAAGGCTCTGCTGAAAGAGCAAATAGCGACATTAAAGATATTCTTGTGGGCTGGATTAGTGACAACCAAATTCAGGACTGGACAGTGGGGCTAAAATTTGTCCAACAAAAGAAGAACTGTGCCAATCATGAAGGCAACCGAGCACCAAACAAGGTCAATTTTGGAGAGGACCCTAAAGTCGCCTTGATATCATCTAGCCTCCCACCTGAAATCCTCGACAGGCCTCAGTCTGAAGATGGTCTTCTGGCCCTCTATCAGCCACCACTTCCGACCAGAGCTGAGCCATCGATCCCTACAACCACTGAACCACCGCCTTCGACCACTACTACCACTGAAACACTGCCTTCGACCACTACTACCACTGAAACACTGCCTTCGACCACTACTACCACTGAACCACTGCCTTCGACCATTACCACCACTGAACTGCCTTCGACCACTACTACCACTGAACCATCACCTTCGACCATTACCAGCACTGAAATATCGCCTTCGACCACTAACACAACTGAACCATGACCATCGACCATTACCACCAATGAACCTTGACCATCGACCACTACCAGCACTGAACCACTGCCTTCGACCACTACCACCACTGAACCACCGCCTTCGTCCACTACCACCACTGAAACACTGCCTTCGTCCACTACCACCACTGAACCATCGCATTTGACCACTCACACCACTGAACCTCCGTTAACTTCTTTATCCCTTCTTGATATCGCCCATCAAGCTAAAAGAGCACGAGCACGAGAGAAAGGACTGTGAAATGCTCCTGTATTGACACAAAGACGGGTAAAGCTGGAGATAATGTTGCCGTGCCCATTCCCATGATGGACAGATGTGGAGGCAACCCAAGTTGGAGTAATTGTTAATCGGGATGAAAACGACATGTATAGAATTGTGGTTAAGCTGGTGTTTTGAAAGCTAAGTATGCCAGGAATCAGTTCGATCTCTGTCTAATGGCGGAACTCCATCAAGTACGCCAACCAAGTAATACTGTTGTAAATAAATGTACAAACATTAATGATGCTTCAGAGGACAAACCCTGGTTTGATTGTACATGTAAAAACTTGTATAAAAAGTATATAGATGCATTGAAATGTTTTAACAGGTGTAAAACTGCTGTAAACCACACCAAACTTGTGTCGTGTAAACGTATATACAAAATAACTGAAAATAGATTAAAAAGGACTTGCATGTGTATAAGCGTGCTGAAGGCGACATAATTGAGTACCTGCGAAAATATAATCCAAAATGTTATTATGCTCACTTCAATAAGGAAAAAAAGAGTAAATCTTTAAATGTATCTTTAGATAGTTTTATGAGTATTTCAAGGGTTTAGCTAGTGGCGTCTCTGATCAACTCACTACCGTAAACGATAACGTATTAAATGATATTGTTTTTCATGAACTTGAAAACTGTATAACATCCACGTAAGTCAAAACAGCTATTGCCAAGCTGAACAAAGAAAAAAGTCATGGCTCTGATGGTGTTTTGAATGAATATTTCATTGAATTTTGTGACTATTTACTGCCTTCTCTGACCACTATTTTTAATGCAATTTTCACTATAGGGTATTTCCCGAAAATATTAAGTAATGCTTTAATTGTACCTGTTTACAAGAAAGGTGACTCTTCTATTCCTTGTAATTTTAGAGGAATTAGTTTATTAAGTTATATGACTAAGTTATTTACATCTGTATTAAATACAAGGCTACTAAAGTGGGCCGAAAATAATGACGTTTTAACAGATGCTCTGTTTGGTTTTCGAACAGGAATGGGATCTGTTGACGCAATCTTTGCTTTACATACACTTATTACAAAGACATTAGTGTCCTCACGTAAAAGACTATATTGTTGCTTTGTGGATTTTCAAAAAGCTTTTGATTGCGTAAACAGGTCTCATTTGTGGTTGAAAATTTTAAAACTTGGCATTCGTTGTAAGATTTTTAATGTTGTTAAGTCTTTATATACCAACATAAAATCAAGTGTATTACATAATGGTAAATTATCACATTTTTTCAACAACAATATGGGAGTCTTACAGGGGGAAATCATCTCCCCTTTACTGTTTTCTCTATACGTAAATGATTGCGAATTTGAGTTTTTAAATAGTGTTGTTACACCTATTAAATTGCAAGAGTTATCTCTCTTCCTAATCATGTATGCGGACGACATGGTTCTTTTCTCCGAAACCACTGAAGGCCTCCAGGACATGCTAAATACACTATCTGATTATACAAAAAAGTGACTTAAACTAAAATTGTAGTCTTTAGAAACGGAGGAAACATAAAAGAATGTGAACGTTGGTTTTAGCAAGGCAATCTTATTGAAATTGTTGATAGTTTTTACTACCTTTGACTTGTTTTAAACTATAATGGCAAATTTAATGTCACAGAAAAGCACCTCGCCACTCAAAGTCGTAAAGCTTTATTTAGACTTAAAAAGAATACTGTGTCAATGCAACTCAGCTATACAACCTATTGTTCATTATATGATTGTGAAATTAGGGTTCTTTTTTAATAACGACGACTGGTTCAATGGTATTGGGATCAAATTTATTGTCAGCACAAAGAAATCCCTAAAAAGACAGAAACACGGGTATACAATACGAGCACATAAAACTACTTTTACAAAACGTTATCGAACGCACTACACAATTATTTACAATACAAAATGCGAACCACTGGACATCTGAAGTAAGAGTTAATATATAAAAGACTGAACTTGTAAAGCAATAGTAATAACTAATGAGTAATAATCATTTACAAATAGTTCACGGCAACTTACCCTGCATGTGGTGCTGGAGATGTATACTTGGATTTCAAATAACGTCCAACCCCTTTGAAATCTGCTGCCCAAGTGAAAAGAAAGACAGAAAAGCGGGAAAGGACAGGAAGATTGACAGCGCGCATGTGTCTGGAGTGGTCAGTCCGGTCAACAAAAGAATACAACACATCACATCACACCACACACAATTACACACATTACATAACCATACTCAATATGCCTAGCACGGGCCGCAATGCAAAATACATATAAACCGAAAGTGACGGTCACGTGATCTGACGACACGACGCGATAATGCTAATTAACAATACCTACAACTGCCATGGACAGTATTACCAAAGAAACTATTACCGTTTCAAATAATAATTATTTAATCAAGGTGCCACATGATACTTATGTCAGTAGTGTCTCAAACTATGGATGCGAAATATGGTGCTTCCATACCGCACCAGATATTGAAAAGCTACATTTAGATTTTTGTTAGAACATTTTAGGAGTTAAACGATCAACGGCTAATGCCATGGTGTATCTTGAACTTGGAAGGTTCCCTTTATCTTATTTACGTAAATTGAGAATATTTAAACTCATGAAATCAGATAACTGTATATTACGTAATTGCTACGATTATATGTATATCTAGTCCAAACTGTAAGAGTTGGGTGTCACTTGTTAAGAACGAGTTATGTTCTCTTGGTATGTATGACCAGTAGTTAAAACAGGAGTCTGTTAATATAAAATCTTTTTTAGCTGTTACTAAACAAAAAGTGTCTGATCAACTCCCATCAGGATATGATGAGTCGTATAAATTCGTCCTCCAAATATGTATTGTATAAACATTTGGTTGACAAAGTCTCACTACAACTGTACCTGTGTAAGCCTATTCCTGTTAAGTATAAGAAACTTATCACCAAAATACGTTTGTCTGCTCATTGTTTAAATGTAGAAACAGGAAGGTATTCAAATATTCCAGTGGAACAGCGCACTTGCAAACTTTGTAATTCTGACATTGAGGATGAATTCCATGTTGTACTTAAATGTCCTTTTTATAACAATTTGTGTCGTAAATATATTAAATCATACTATAGGAGTAATCCCTCCGTTTTCAAATTAGTAGATTTACTTTAAACTCCTAATGTAAAAGACTTATGTAACTTGGAAAAGTATTTGTATCATGCTCTCAAACTGCGATCTAGTCTATTGTAATAAAGTCACTAAGTTTTTGTATGTAACAATGATTATAGAAACAATCTTTCTCTCTCTCTCTATCTCTCTCTCTCTCTCTCTCTCTCTCTCTCTCTCTCTCTCTCTCTCTCTCTCTCTCTCTCTCTCTCTCTATATATATATATACGATACATGTTGTATATTTATGTATTAGAATCCATAAGCTGCATTGCTTCAGAACAATAAAGAAAAGTAAAGTAATCTCTGTCCACAGCGATTATTGAATGACTATGATGACAGTACAACCACACTTCGTTAGGCTCTTAAATCTACAACTTCTAGTGGACAGGGATTCTTTCGTTGTGACTGCAGCAAAAGCAAAATACAGTGTCAGACAAACAGGTGCAAGTGCTGTAAAGCAAAGATACTTTGTAATAGCAGATGCCACAATAGCCTTACTTATCAAAATAAGTAATGTGTATACAGACAGGTATGATAACTCTGGATATTTAAGAATTACATGTATTTTTATTTCACATTGAATGCATTTACAGTATCAACTTACTTATATACCCTATATATCAGAAACATAGCTACTATTTTAAATCATAGAAAAACATAGGAATATCAGAAAGTACACATAAAGCTACTAATTTTCAACTTTTTCAATTATTTATGTATATACACATATATAGACACATAAAGTAGCTTGATTTCAAACGTCCCTTTGAATAGGAGTATTATAATATTCTGTGCATCCTCTATATCATAAATTAAAATCACCTATTAGTAATTCAATGGTAAAAGCTTATAAAAAGTGTCCCCATACAAAAGGAAATTAATTAATTCAATTCAGTACTAGAATGTTTTTTTTCACAGCAGAATTTTTCATAACTGATATTTCTTTTTTGATGAAACACATGCAGTTTATTTCACTATTTTACTGTAAATGCAGTCGATGGGAAGCAGCATCAGCATAACCGAGCACATCAATTTGTCCATTTCTGTATTGGTTCTTTAGTTGATTGAGGCGATAGTCTATGTGGTGGTATTTCCTTTTCTTTGGTCTTGGTTTACCTCCGGTTGAAAGTTGGATCATCTTTGCTTCATCGGTAGTCTGAATTTTCTTCAGAAGCTGAACAGCCGCAAAGATGTTGAAGTGCGCATGCTGACAGATCTTGTTGACCTTGCTGTGCTATCCCTCAATATGATTTGTTGTCCGTGGGCCATCGTTGTCATAGTGGTTCCACAAAACTAATGACCGGGCACGGTCTCTGTACACATTTCCAATAAACTCTATCATGATAAGAATAATTGAAGCCCAGACAATATCAATACTTGTTCATGATAAGAACCATTGTAGCCCAGACAATATCAATACTTGTTCATGATAAGAATCATTGTTTTCCCAACAATATCAATACTTGTTCATGATAAGAATCATTGTTGTCCCAACAATATCAATACTTGTTCATGATAAGAATCATTGTAGCCCAGACAATATCAATACTTGTTCATGATAAGAATCATTGTTGTCCCAACAATATCAATACTTGTTCATGA